TTAGGGTCGGTCGGCCAAAAATGGATTTCTTAAAAAATACCAAAGGGGGACCCTTTGGGTCGGCAGGGGATCGAATCCCTGAAGGGGGGCGTCCGCCTACCCCCAAACCCGCCTCTGCCTGTGCAATTGTTTTTTTTCTGATGCAGACGATAACAAGCCTCTATCCAGAGAAACAACAAAATAAGCAAAAGGTGCTGAGCATTTGCTAGGTTTTTCCGGGCACCATCGGCTAAAGGGCACACTGAATCAAGGGCAGGCAATCCGATCGTTTATCCTGAAACTGAATATTGTCGTAACGGCATCTCTGAAATTAGGCTAAATGCCTGCGGTAATCAAGTTGGTACAATAGAGCCTTAAAGTTTTTGTGCCTAGAAATTCAGTGAAAAAAAATCACAGATGTTTGAAAAAACAACCAAGTTTAAAAACAACCAAAAAAATTCGTAGGGACTGCTGGTCCACAGAAAATGCTATCTGCTTTTCCTTGTTGTTCTCAATTAAAACATTCCCTACGAACTTTTTGCTTATCACAAATTTTTGGTTTTCGAGGTTATTAAGTTTTTCTTTATTTTCGGCGCCATTTTTAGTTTTTTTTTCGTTTGATTTTTATGAACCTTTATGAAATTTGGTTCTATTACGCTTACAAAAAAAGAACAAGCAATAATAACAGCCATTTTTTTAAATCGATTTTTTAAATCGATATCGATTTTTTTCTACTTTAACTAGCTTCAAAAGTTGCGCTTGAGCATCCGAAAGGCCTACGCATTGCAACATAAACTACTTAGACGCTCATAGACCTCCCGGGTTGACCGAAATGCTAGTCATACAATTTTCATATATGGAAAAATGCTAGTCATACACTTTTCATGCAATTCCATACGTACAGAAAATTGCATGAAAGGTCTATGATTAGTATTTTTTCATATATGGAAACTGTATGACTAGCATTTTTTTTGGCAAAACGTTTTTCTTTTTTATGTAGTACGATACACCGAATTTTATGCCAAAACAAGAGAAAAGTTTTTTGAAAGTTCGACGACACCGTTTTAGCAAAATGTATGAAATTTTTATGATTAGTATTTTTTCATAGACTTAGTTTATGGAATTATATGATTAGCATTTTTGGTCTATGGAGGTCAACCCGGTTTTTGATTTGAAGATCCGCTCGTCGCAACATTCGCAAAAATAACTGTTGACCATGAGGCTTCAAATATAATTTTAGAGGTCTATAAAAACTATTCATTTGAAGTCTGGCTGAAATTATATCTAGCGGATGTTTTCTGTAAATTGCGCATTGTTAGAAAAAAAATTATAGTTATCGTTTGAACTTGATTTTTTTTCTGAAATTTTTTTTTGTATAAATGCGTTTTGTACTGCTCATTTTTGAATTTTGACTTGACGACCCTTCGGTTTGAAACCCGTCGACTTGTTCTACTACACCCATTGAAAGAGCTCGCTTGAGAAAATTCGAGGCCGACAAGCAGAGGTATTTTTTCGAAATCAAGCTGTGTCAATGAAAAGCAACATAAGAAAGTGGTTTAACTGCTTTGCAATGCAAACTCGGTTTTGAATTGGTTGAAATTAATCACGTACGTAGTCTTTTAAAATTGCAGTTTTTTAGAAAAACTTTTTAATATACATCTGTTTCTACATGCACAAACGCGTTCTAGTGTAGGAAAAACAAAGTTTTTGTAATGATTTGCTTCTACAGGTCAACATTCTGAGTTGCAAGGCACTTGAAATGATTTTCTTTGTCTGATGATTTAGGTAGTTAACTTGCACATCTTTGCAGTAATTTTTGAATCATTTTGAAACACTTTGGAATGAATTATATACGGAAAAAGAAGCTAGTAAATAGCTCAAAAATTATCAGGCACTAGCGAACAGAACTTTGCAGGTTACGCAGCAGTGTTCAGACAACCACGTATTCATATTTGTCAGTAGGCATATACTATTTTAACTAATCAGAATCGAGATCAGAATCGAGACAAGGAAAGAATTAATAATTAAAAATTGTTTATTTCTTAAGTTTGTTTTCTTATCTCTATTCTGATGGGTTAAAATTTTATTTGTCTGATTACTGACGAGTATGAGTACGCGATTGTCTAAATATAGATCGCACTGCATCTTTGAACTAGCGCGATTGAAACTGAACACTAGTAGTTTGATGTAACTTTAAATGTTCACTGAATAACACCGGTTAGCTGTTTAGTTAACTAACAATTTATGTAGTAGCTACAGAGCAGCGAAAAACTACATCAAAAGTTTTTTAATACAAAAAGGGACACGCAGTGTCGAGATGTGAACAGTTTTAGAGCAAGTTAAGATGTTGCTCATTTGGTATAAACTCAGATGAAACGCACGAACAAAACATCAAAACATGAACATTTAAGAAAAAAATCTCTGCCACACATATCTTTTCGTACTTTCGATTTCGTTTGTTCGATTGATCAAATAAAGCACGGAAACAGTTTGCATACTAGCTTATTATCTTTCGAATAAAGCACTGAAAGATATGCGTGCAGTATGTCTCCATGCCATATTTGAGAAACTTATGCAATTCTTGAAACAACAGTGCAAGGTTTTTCCTAGTGCAATCACAACAATTAAAACTAATTACACGTGAAAACTTGATCAAAAGGGTGAATAATAGATTTGAATTTTTAAAAGTTTCATATCATAAAAGGAGCATTTTTTGCATTTTGAAATTGGTTCAAATCTTGAGCCTGCGTGTCTCTATTTATCCTTAAAACTTTAGGATGCATAAAAAAACTTGTTTATCTACTACAAAAAAGTCCAGGTCACCATGTGGAACCAAAAGTCATTCAACTCAGCGTAACAGCAAACGAAATTTCATTTCAAATCACAAAGCTGGAAACAGTACTATAGCTGAGATAATTGTAAGGCAACCAAATAATTTTCAAACTTTGTGATCAAAAAGTCGTTTTACTCCTGTTATGAACACACAAGTTCAAAACAAAAAAGAAACAACAAAAAAAGTTGAAATTTCACAACCATTTAGAATCTAAGATAAGAGTATATTTTGATCCGAAAGTACTTGAGAATATTGCGAGAGATGCAAATTAATTGAGCAGACCACTATTCTCTGCGCTGCTAACAATTTTTGCGAAAAAGCATTAAATTTTCTAATTAGTGTTTAAAATGAGCCATATTAGTTGTGTTTGTGAGTTTTTTGCAAACATGAGCAAAATTTTTGGAAACGATTAATTACATAATCTCCGGACAAAACAAAATTAATAGATAGAATTTCAATTGAGCTCAGTAAAATTTTCTTTTTCATTTTGTAATTTTTTATCTCGTAATTTTCTTCTCCAGCTTGCACTGAAGTAGAAAACTAACTGAACTATAGGATTAAAAAAAGAGAAAAAAAACCTTTTTTTTTCAATAAAATGTGGTGAAGTTAAACTCAAATCAGGGTTTTAATTGCTAGAATGCTTAACTTCAAGTACCGTTTTGGATATTATTCAATTTGAATTTCAGCAAATTTTATAGGTTAATTTTGTGCGCTATCTCTGCTCCCTAAAATTTTTAACTTTAAGAACAATTTTTGTAAATACCTACTTTGATTTTCACCAAAATTTTTTTGATTCGACCGACTGCAAATCAACTGAACTACCCTCTCTGAAATTCTCAATTTTTGCTTTAAAGCAATTGCCAGTCGTTCCGGGTCCATAAATGCAAGTTCTCGCCGTTTCATCTCGTTGGAACACTTTTTCTTTGAACCGGAAAAAATGATTAGTGCTTGAAATCAAAAACTGATTGTTTCTTGGAGTGTAGCTGAGATCATTGGCTTGAAATCAGGCATGTTTGGAAATAGGCATTAATCTATGCTTATTTAGGCTTGGAATAAAAGTATAAACCTAGTTTTTGTTCAAACTTGTACACTAGTATTTCAACCTGAGTGATGTATCTACCATCCTAGTTTTGTCTTCAGATTATAATCACCCAATTTAAAAGTTTTCAGTCAAAAATGGTTACTTGAAACTCCGTTTTCAATCCAAAATAAAACTTATTTTTCAAGGTTTTAATTTAAAACTGCATCTTAATTTTGTCATAATTTTTGATACCAGTGAAGAAAAATTGATCAAAAACAGCATTTTTGAGAAAATTATTTTAAAAAACTTTGCTGAGCTACCGTATAACATGGTTGGAAAATGCAAAATTTTGCATATTTGATTCAAGATTTTAAAAGCTGAGGAACTCAATTTTTTGCTGCTAAAATTTAGTCAAACAGTTCCCATTGCGTTCGCGATTCGTTGTTTTTACATGAGGACTGAAAAGATTTTATGCGCGAAAGTTTCTTCAAAAGAAAAGCTAACATGGTTTCAAAATATTTGGTTGCGTTAGTTTTTTCTCCAGTACATTTGTATCAGTTCAGATCAACATTAGATTCATGATTTGTAAGTCCAATTCAGAGTATTTTAAGTCAATTTAAGTTATGAGTTAATTGGAAAAGGCTGAAAAGAAAATACAAAGATTCAGTTGGGAAAGTCTGACAGAGAGAAAAGATATATTACTTTATGGAAATAGTCCTTTATGCTATTATAAAAGTTTTGAACCGTAAGAAAGGTTGCAAAAATTTTCTGTATAGTAAATTTATTCGTTCAGATGGTCGAATTACAAAGCACATGTCGTGCAAAAACTGAGAGCAGTAGCACTTTAGCTGGAAGGGGGCAGGACAACTCGGCGTTGTTACTAATTTTTACCCAAAATTAATGTGAACCCAATTATTTTTGGTCAAAGTCTTTGGTGCTTAAAAACACAAACTTTAGATGGATTGTTCAGTAAAAATTGCTATTAGTGCTTTTTGCATGGTCTTAAGTGGTGGCGCAAACATGTGAGCTCTTCGACTTTTTTAAGAAAACCCATTATATAACTATTCATTCATTTATTCATTCATTCATTCATTCATTCAATTATTCATTCGCTTAAAGCCTCTCTGAGCTAGGAAACACTTTTAACTTGAATTTTTACAATTTCAGTCTTATTCTCTTTGCTGGAACTGCAAGTGGTTTTTGTATGTTCTACTGTGACTAATATAGAGTGCAACATGAACAACCTGTCACAGGATGATTGTGATTTCCTGACCTCATATGCAGAAGATGAGGGCTGTGCAAAATGGGGCAAACACGAGTGTGTCAATGATGTGAGTTTGTCAGCCTTTGATTTATGATTGGTTGAGTACTTGCGGTTGTTTCAGGACATTATAAGGTCTTCAGTTACGAGTTTTTTTTTGATCTTCTTAGATTTTTTTGCCAAATTTGGTACTCGTTTGGAATAATAGTTTGTGTTACAAAGCTCGTTCATAAGTTCGGTTCATGAAAAAACTTTCTATGGTCCCAAAGTAAGCGTCAGGCAAAAAAGTGTTAAAAGTAGTTTCTGAAAGTTTCTGAGTTTTTCTGAATTGTTTCGGCCACAGAAGTTGTTTTTCATTGCGTTATCTTTTCTTTGAACAAGTTCAACATCTGCCCTCGCAAAAATATAATAGGTAAATTAGGTGGTTTTGATTATGTTATTTATTAGTATCATAGTATAATTATTTTGCTTTTTTTAACAGTGAAATGATTCTTCTGATAGTTTCGTTTTGTTGAAAATATTAGTGATAAATATAGCTGCGATATTAATTTTAAGTCATCTGGATGATCGACCGCAATTCTGAATGGCTTTTTGATTGATTCATCAAGATATCGGGACAATACTTCTAAGCGAGTCAACTCAAAGAAATTCTGACCTCAAGAAATTACAGAGATTTGAGTTTGGAACTACATGGACTAGTTGTTCCAATTTTCGAAGAAAGTGACAAATTTGTGTGCTCGGGGTGTTTTTTTCTTCTGAAAATTTTGGGAATTTCTACTAGCCATTTTTTGACATTTTTTTTACATCATCTGAAAGGTATTATTGCCCTGAGCTCAAGTTTAAAAAGATATTTCACCTGTGATCATTTTTCGTTGAGATCATTTTTGATCATTATGGCTATCTGCCATAACTGCTATCTAACTAGGAGCGAAATCTATCACTTTGAAGTTTACGTAGTTTGATTTGTAAAAATCTCAAATTTAAAAAATTTCCTTTTTTGAAAACTTCATCAAATATTAAAGAGCGAACACTGTTTAATATAACTTATAGGGCATTGGGAATATTCAGGGGATCATTCGTTCGCCATTGGGAGCATTGGGATCATTCGTTCGCCCTGATCATTCGTTCGCCATTCATACGAGCAGTCTTGTCTTTTTTGTTTTGAACATGTTCCCCAAACACGCAATCTCAGCCAAAAAAACGATGCGTTTGACACTCAGTAATAATTCAAGTTGAATCGTTTTTTGAGCCAGCTGAATTTGCTGAGTGCGCTACGCGATTACCGAAAGCTGGTAGATAGCGCGCTTTAATTATCCCAAATGATGAGTTTTCGATAAAATGCCCAGCGTACTCAGCAAACTCAACTGGCTCAGAAAGATAACACTTTAGTGAAAGAGCAATATATCTCGATTAACTCTTTAGTGAAAGAGCAATATATCTTATGGTGGTTGAGATTGCGTGCTAGGCGAAGATGTGCAAAACACAGATATTGTTTTTGATTCACACTTTTTAAAACCAAATACTGCCCGGGTTGACAAAAAATGCTTATCATACTATTTCATATTATGAAAAAAATGCTTGTCATTCTATTTCATACTATTTCATATACCAAAGAAATACTATGAAAATAGCATGATAAGCATTTTTCCATACTATGAAATATTATGATAGGCATTTTTTTCATACTATGAAAGTGTATGACAAGCATTTTTTCCATAAATGAAAATACCAAAAAAATATATTTCGAATTTTTTTTTGAAAATCTAGCCCGGAATTTAGTCCGGAAATCTAGCCCTGGACTTTTTGTCATAAGAAAACCCAGAGTGTAATTGGCAGTTACCACGCAGATAAACTGCATTTGGTGATTTTTGGCACTTACGTTAATTTCGACATTTTCACATAGAAATGTATACCAAAAATGTAACTTTTTGTATATGGCTAGATAATTTTTGGTTTGAAAATTTTGGTAAAAGCCTGTTTTTTTTTCGCATAAACTTATATTTGAACACAAAAGCAAGTTTGCAACCAAAAAATGGGATTAATAAATTTTACCTCAAATTTGTGTTTTTGCAAATGAAAAAATGCATATCATACAATTTTCATTTATGAAAATTATATGAAAATCATTTTTTGACCAAAATTAAAATCATGTTTTTGAGAGTAAAATGCATTCTTTCAATAAAATTTTTTTTAACTTATGTAAATTCATCCAGAAATATCGTTAAATTCATTTTGAAAATTTTATTTTTTCTATAGCAAAATGCTTATCATACAATTTTCATATATGAAATTATTATGACAAGCCTTTTTTGATCAAAATTAAAATCATGTTTTTATTGAGCAGAAAGAATCAAAAGGTGGAAATAGAACAGAAGTATTTCTCTAAAAACGTTTAATACAGTTTTTGAATTTTGTATTAAAATTGTATGATGAGCATTTTTTCCATAGTCGCCATATATGAAATTGTATGATTAGCATTTTTCTTTTATAGACGTCAACCCGGGTGACTAAAAGTACTTTATTCGACCAGGATAAAAGTACTTCAAACATCCAGGGTGGTGCGTTGACACAAGTTATTGCTCCGACTTTCATAACGAAAGTAACGGAATATTTGTGCTCGGGGTGGGTTTTTTTCTTCATGCAAATTTCGGCTTTTTAACTAGCCATTTTGACGAATTTTTTTTATCATATGAACAGTATTGTCGTCCTAAGGTTAAACATGAAAAGATATTTCACCTGTTATCTTTTTTTTGTAAATTCATGGGTGTTTAATGATTGCCATTTTGGCCAATTAGGGACAATTAACGCGCGATATATTTCGCGCTATTAGCGCGTAAGCGGAGCTTTAATCTGTCTTAGAAATTGGTTTTAAGAAGCTTATTTGCCATAATTGATTTGTTAAAAGGAGCAAAATCTATGCTTTAGTACTTTATATGGCGAGTGGGGGATGAGTTTCACAAAAAATCTCAAACTTTAGAAAAAAAATCATTTTATTTTATTACATTTAAAGTTTTTATGTTATTACTGCTCCATATACCTTAAAGGGCAGTCGGAACATTCATGGCTTCGCCCTGATACGAGCAGCCTTGTCTTGTTGTTACGAAGAAGTAAACGGAATATTTTTGATCGGGTGTTTTTGCATCCGACAACATTCGACATTGTATTTAAGCGTTCTTGACAAACAATTATGCCATCTCAAAGCTACTTTCATCCTGAAAGGATAATTTACTTGTTAATTTTTTCGTATTTTTTTTAGCGTTTCAGAGTTTCCTACTTGGCCAATTGAGGATAATGAACAAGTAATATATTGCAACCTTTTCGCGCGGTAAGCGTCAAATTATGTTATTCAACTTGAAACTGAGGCAATGCATTACCAGACTTAAAAGATATCACCTTGTACTTTACATAACACATGAGCATGAACAGAAAATTGAAAAAGTACTTTCATTTTTTTTCTTTTTTTTTGAATAGTTCATCAATTTGCTTAATCAAAAACTTGTTCACCAGGTTGGTAAAAGTCAGTCGGAACCTTAAAAGGCTTGCCCTAATACAAGCAGCCTTGTTTTTTCTCCGGTACTTCTAAAGGGCTAACTTTATCAAAACTTATCTTTTTTGTGAGTTAGACTGCTGCATTTGTATTCAGAAGTGTAAACTAAAGCTAACCAAATCACACTACATGCAGTGTATTCGAGAGTGCTGCAAAAATGACACATATAGGAGTGCCTTGGCTCTGGCACGAGCAGCCACCGTCAGCGACACATCATCCTCAACATTATCAACATCATCAACGACAACAATAACAAAAACAACAACCACCAAAACAGCAACAACAACCACAACAAGAAAAACAAAAACATCGACTCAAAATGGTGCTAAAAGTGATGCAAAACCTAAAAACGAGTCAAGTACTACTGAATCGGTTCAAAGTGTGTCGGAGACATCAAGTTATCCTGCGAGTTCAGACAAAAGCTCCGACAGTAGTTCCGACAATAGTTCCGATGACTCAAACTCGGAGGACAACAGTGCCACTGCGACTTCCAAGACAACCAATCCGAATGACCCTTCCCGTAACTTTGACTACTACGACAGTCCCTACTGTCAGAGGTGCATGTTGCGATACAGTGACAGGTACTATTGTCGCAATGAAGGACTTTGTTTTTCGCTCATTTTGACTCCAAGTGCATTTATTTACTTTGTTTGTTCAGTTTTCAATAAAATCTTGATCCAGAAGATGCATAACTAGTTGTTTATTTTATAAAAAAAATTGGGTCTTATGCGTTAAACGGCCCAAAATGGCTGACCTAGTTGCTCGAATTTGATTGGCTAATATTAACCAATCAGGATCAGTTTCAGTTTTAGTTTTCATTTTGCTTCAATTTTGATTTTTAGGCCGTTTAACGCATAAGACCCAAAAAATTGAAGAATTCAATCAAACGATGAAAAAATGATCTAACCGCTCAATCAAAGCCCAACTGAACTCATTTAATTTGACAAAACAATGTTAATTAATAGTTGCAATATGTCAGACGCGAGCAGCATTTTTCCTTTTTCTTTAACTTTAAACTATTTCAGGCCAATCTTTTCTGGAAAATTTTGATGGAACCAGGTTTCAATGACAATTCAAAAATTCTCCGACCATTCACGCGTCTGGCAAAACAAGTAACTTGAATATGTATGCTTACTTATCTGATAAATTCTAAATTAGCATTTTTCGAAATCTACACCAAATCAACTTTGCGTTAAGCTTCAGATTTGCGAACTCAACAAAATAATCCAGCAATAAGTTTTGTTAAAATAGAACTAAATCAACCACTTCAGTGATATTTTAATGATGAGAAATTTCGATGAAGTTGAATCAGTTATTAAATTTAATTACAGTGATTCTGTAGCGGATTTAGGGGGGGGGGGGACGTCCCCCTCAGGGATTCGACGCCCTGTCGACCCAAAAGGTCCCCGTTTTGTACTATTTTGAGATATCGATTTTTGGCTGACTGACCTTAAAATTTTTCTAAAGGCGCCTTGGGCGCCATTATATACGAATCTTGAGGAGGGAAGAAAAAACGTGATTTTTTGGTCGAAGTTTTCCAAAAAGTGCCTAAACACACCTTTTTGGCCTTTTTCTCAAAGGTTTGCCTACGGCGCAGAAAATTTGGTCAAATTAGGGTCTTTATAGTTGTTTGGAAGAGCTCAGAAAATCAATTTGGTCGACCTAAAGAAGAAGGTGAAAATGCGCCCCCCCCCTTCGAGAAATTCCTAGATCCGCGCCTGCAGTGATTATAATTTAATTTTTACTATGTCAAATACTAAAAATTCTTAATTGTACATCAATTTTTTTATTTGTTTGTAATTCATTTATTAAATAGTTTATTTTTGATTGATGGAGCAATGGTGAATTGCTGCAATGAGTTCCAATCACCGCAAGTTTATAGATCAAGTAAGGCGAATGGGCAGAGTTTTGATAGCAGGGCAAACTGATGCGACTTGTTGATAAAAAGACACTTATCAACTAAGTAGCGACTCCCAGAGCATGGAGGTTGATCTTTACCTAAAGCCTATAATTACCTAATTTATTAGAGATACTCCCAAATTTCGCTTGCTAAGAAAAAAAAGATTGTTGAACGAGAAAGCAGCTGAGCTATGTATGGGTGTTTTAGGACTTAAGAAGTGCGCAAAGCGCGGGTAATTTTTTTTCATATTGATAAAGTTTGATTCTTGCTCTGAAAAACTTAGACGCGTGAAGGAACAATTTTTTACAGGAGGAAAGCAACCAACAAATCAATCAAATTGAACGACTTTTTTAGCGAGCAAGGGAAGCTCTTGGAATTTTAGAGCTGGAAGCTCTAGGAAACGTTTAGGACTTTCACAGAGAGCTGTTTCAACCAGTTATTTAGTGAAAATAATTGAGAGTAAACAAACCAGCCGAAGTATAAACCAACCGAAAATGGGCGGAATATATGAGCCAGCCAAAAAATTACATCATGTGAATGAATTTGCATAACTTTCGTAATTCTGACATGATTGTCACATAACCATTATATAGCACTTAAGTATTTTTGGCTGCTTGATACTTCGGCTGCTTTTTACTTCGGCTAGTTTTTTTTACCACCAATATTAAACCATCCTCGCATAAAACCTAATCATGAACGTAAATGAAGCCTATATGCAAATCAATTTCTCATGTGATTGTTTAATGCTTTTTACACCGAAGACTTTAGTCAAGGTGTTATGGTATCGTGTAACGGGTTTTTTTTTTAATGTTGTCTGTTGTCAAGTGTCGACAAATAACGTCCACAGTTATCAATTATCATGTAGGCTGGACTATATCGCGCTATGTCACGTGATTGCGTATGTTTGTTTCTTTATTTGTTCATCTTTATTTATTTAATTATCTGTTCTTCAATTTATTTAATTATGTTTAGTTTGCTTATATTTATTTATAATTTATGTATGTACATATTTATTTTTGTTTATTTTTATCACGTGTTTTGTTTATTTATTTAATTATTCTTTCTTTCATTTAGTTTTGCTTTTATTATTTCTGCGTGTGTATTTATTTAATTTATTTATTTTCATTTATTTATATTATGGGTCTGTTTGTTTGGTTATTTGTTCATATATATTTTTTCATGTCTATTTAATTATTTGTACATTTCACTTTTGCTTTTATTTATTTATTTATTTATTTATTTATGTATTTATTTATGTATTTTTTAATTTATTTATGTATTGATTTATTTTTTTATTGCTTATTTATTTATCAGGTGTGTTTTGTTTATTTGTTGATATTTATTTCTATATTTATTTAATTATTCTTTCTTTCATTTAGTTTTGCTTTTATTATTTATGTATGTGTATTTATTTCATTTATTTATTTTCATTTATTCATATTATGGGTCTGTTTGTTTGGTTATTTGTTCATATATTTTTTTTCATGTCTATTTAATTATTTGTACAATTCACTTTTGCTTTTATTTATTTATTTATTATTTATTTATGTATTTATTTATGTATTTTTTATTTATTTATGTATTGATTTATTTTTTTATTGCTTACTTATTTATCAGGTGTGTTTTGTTTATTTGTTGATATTTATTTCTATATTTATTTAATTATTCTTTCTTTCATTTAGTTTTGCTTTTATTATTTATGTATGTGTATTTATTTCATTTATTTATTTTCATTTATTCATATTATGGGTCTGTTTGTTTGGTTATTTGTTCATATATTTTTTTTTCATGTCTATTTAATTATTTGTACATTTCACTTTTGCTTTTATTTATTTATATATTTATTTATTTATGTATTTATTTATGTAATTATTTATTTATTTATGCATTGATTTATTTTTTTATTGCTTATTTATTTATCAGGTGTGTTTTGTTTATTTGTTGATATTTATTTCTATATTTATTTAATTATTCTTTCTTTCATTTAGTTTTGCTTTTATTATTTATGTATGTGTATTTATTTCATTTCTTTATTTTCATTTATTCATATTATGGGTCTGTTTGTTTGGTTATTTGTTCATATATATTTTTTCATGTCTATTTAATTATTTGTACATTTCACTTTTGCTTTTATTTATTTATATATTTATTTATTTATGTATTTATTTATGTATTTATTTATTTATTTATGAATTGATTTATTTTTTTATTGCTTATTTATTTATCAGATGTGTTTTGTTTATTTGTTGATATTTATTTCTATATTTATTTAATTATTCTTTCTTTCATTTAGTTTTGCTTTTATTATTTATGTATGTGTATTTATTTCATTTATTTATTTTCATTTATTCATATTATGGGTCTGTTTGTTTGGTTATTTGTTCATATATATTTTTTCATGTTAATTTAATTATTTGTACATTTCAGTTTTGCTTTTATTTATTTATATATTTATTTATTTATGTATTTATTTATTTATTTATTTATTTACAATTGGCCGATTGAAACGACAGGAGGCGTTTTGCTACACATACAAACACAATCTTTTGTATTTTATTATAGCTATAGAAATTGATCTACAATGCGTAAGTACGACATTTAGTTCTACGATTGTTATTTCAGGTCCTTTGTCAATATTTCAGGCTCTTTGTCAATATAGCAAAATTTTGGTGTATATATGTGTTAGTAAGATTTTTAGTTCTACAACGTTTATTCAGGCTCTTTGTCGATATAGCAAAATATTGGTGTATACATGTGTTAGTACGATTTTAGCTCTAGAATTGTTATTTCAGGCTCTTCGTCAATATAGCAATATTTTAGCGTATACATGTGTTAGTACCATTTTTAGTTCTCGAACTGTTATTTTATGATCTATGTCAATATATCAAAATTTTAGTGTATAAATGTGTTATTACGATTTTTAGTTCTCGAACTGTTATTTCATGATCTTTGTCAATATATCAAAATTTTATTGTATACATGTGTTAGTACCATTTTTAGTTCTCGAACTGTTATTCCATGATCTTTGTCAATATAGCAAAATTTTGGTGTATACATGTGTTAGTACGATTTTTAGCTCTAGAACTGTTATTCCATGATCTTTGTCAATATAGCAAAAATTTGACGTATACATGTGTTAGTACGATTTTTAGCTCTCGAACTGTTATTTCATGATCTTTGCCAATATAGCAAAATTTTGGTGTATACATGTGTTCGTACGATTTTTAGCTCACGAACTGTTATTTCAGGCTCTTTGTCAATATAGTAAAATTTTGGTGTATACATGTGTTAGTACGATTTTTAGTTCTAGAAGTGTTATTTTATGATCTTCGTTGATATATCAAAAATTTAAATTATACATGTGTTAGTACGATTTTTAGTTCTAGAACTGTTATTTCAGGCTCTTTCTCGATATAGCAAAATTTTGGTGTATACATGTATTAGTACGATTTTTTGTTCTAGAACTGTTATTCTTCAATTATTAGTTGTTCAAGTTGTTTGGTTTTTGCTTCAGTTTCTATGCCTTCGGTGTATTGCGCGTAGCGCCTATGTTTATACATTAAGCACTTCAATAAGTTTTCATTTTTTCCACCCGCTGAGCCACTGAAAGATGAAAAATTAGATAATGACTTTGGAGATGGAAAGGAACGATGGTAATTTTTGACTTCCAAAATTTGTCTTTTAAATTAATCTTTATTTCTTCAATATAAATGACTTATTATTGCAGCTTATCAGTCAACTGTCTCTTCCATTAAATATACAAAAAATTACCTGAAAAGTCTTTACGCATAAACTATTCATAAAAAATATAAAAAGTTTTCAAAGGTTTTGTTATTTTTTATTGGGTTGAAACAATTTCGCGTGGTCTGAATATTCTGGGCTATTTGCACAGCAATCGGATCAACGGGTAAACCATCAGTATCTATGCCTTGTGCATTTAGTTTTTCCCCTCCAAACATATAACCAAATGTATCGATGATGTTTTTTTAAATTAAAAAATAGAAGATAATTTGATAATTATAATAATCAAATTTTGTGCGAACATAATTTTGCTTGAATGCTTTTTTCTTAGTTACTTAAAAAACTATCCACTTGCTGACAAGGATGGTCAGCATATTACAGAAAAATGTAAAAATGTTCAGAAAAGATCAAAAGAAGCGAGGAAACGACAAAAAGCATCTTTCAATTCAAATAAAAAGATAGAAATAATACTTTGATGAAATTTTTGCAAACACTATAGAGTAATATAGCCACTAGAGATGCTAAAAAAAATTGCCAACGCTATGCAGCAAAAGCACACCAAAAAATAAATTACAGCAAAGTGCGGCATTGATCCTCCGACCGTCCGTGCCACCGTCGGTTGAGAATCGGCAAACACTTCCCACCAAAAAAGCAGAAAACAAATGTTCAATATCTTTAGTATTACAGATCGCGATTATAGCGTTTTTATTTGCGAGTTTGGTTGGAAAAACATTATAATACTACGCTCGATGGATGACTTGTATAATTAGAACTTTTTTCAAACGCTGAGACAAACCAGAGCATAAAAACAAACTGTAGAAAAACTGCGTTAGCTTTTTTTCCCACAGAATTCAAATTTGTTCAAAAATTAACATAATCTTGCCGCTCCTTTGTACCCATTTGATTCATATAGCTCATTTGACAAACTCAAATAAGCGAAAAAAAATCAAATGAAAAGCTAGAAAAACTTAATTTTTTAACAAATTTTTTGAAACCAGCTTAATATCTTTATTTCAGAACATTCAGTTTGCTCCAGTTGAATTTAGATTGCAAAGAGGGTTTAAAAAAACAAGGAAGTAAATGTCAAATTTCTAGACAAAATTTTAACGTCAAAATTGCTGCCTATTCTTAAAAAACGCTTAAGTCAAACAAACGCAAATGTTTTTCAGTTACTAGACCGTGCTAGGACTGCTCGAATCATGGCGAAACTGCCCACTAATAATCATGAGATATTTTTTTTGGTTGGGAATTTTTTTAAAATTGTTTTTCAGAATCCATCAGACGCTACGTAACTTTCGAAATGATATAGTTGGCTTCGATTTAAGCAAAACTAAAAAAAACTTCTTGCCTCAACTCAAATATGAACTCAATGAAATGACTGACTTAGGGAAATGAAAAAAGTCATGTTAAAGGTTTCTGCATGCGTTACAGTTTTTGAATACACATAAGTGAAGCGGCGCATCGCATTTTTTTGCGATGCGACGCAAGCGTATCATTGCAAGGATGTAATACGAAACAGGAGGAAGCAAATAAAGCGGAGCATATTTTTCGAGAACCAAGTCAGTTTCAGAAAATTGGTCAATTCATAATTTCCAGCACTTAATAAGCTTCTATAATTTTTCGAGCGGCTACTAAGTAGACCATAGTTGAGTAGACACTCATTGAGTCAAATACAAAAACTTTTTCCTAAATTTTTGTCATAGAAATGAGGAGCGATTAAGTTTTAAAACTGAAATTATACACCAAAACTGACCTAGATTATTACAAAAATAAACTTTTTCCCCTAAAACATAAAGCAAAGTTTTGTTTTTATATTTGCTGTTAAATAGAAGGGTAGTGCTTGAATTTTTTTTCAATTGGGTTAGTTTCAACACTTAAAACTAGTTTTTAATGAAACCATGTCTTGTAAAAAGAGTATTTTTTCCCCTATACAATTTTTTTTCATATTTCTAAGCAATTGAGCTCGTTTTAATAATAAACCCCCGACACTCTTCTTTCTTTTGAAATTAGGTTCATCAATAAAAGCGGTTGGTTTTAAACCTTTTGCACCCGATTGTTGTTTTTTTTTCAGTATGCTTTCTTGAATTGTTTCTGGGAAAAATTGAAGTATTGGACTTTGTTTGCCTGATTGTTTTTGTCGGTTTAGCTGCAACAACTTGGGTTTGAAATTTTTTGTGCTTTAAAATATTTTAATTTTAAATCCAACTGTTGTTTAAATCATGTTTCTTTTAAACATGAGCTTCAGTCGGCGGTTTTTTTTCATGTTATTTTTTGTTGACTTTTTCAACATATTGTGTGTATTTTTAAATGCAAAATTGAATTTTTCGATGATATAGGTCAATTTTGGTGCAAAAATCTCAAGTAGCATTTTTTGTACTCGACTTATTGGGCGTCAAAACTAAGTATTGTTGGCTGTGCCGCGCAAAAAAACTACAGACGATCTTCTATTAAATTTTAAAAATTAGAGAAGACATTTTGATTTAACTGGAAAATAAATTCCGTATCGCAAGCGAAAAAAAATCAAATATCAAACCGTGAAAAATCAAATTTGAGCGTAATCAATTTTCAGTATTTTGAAAAAAAAATGCTTGAAAAAACAGGATAAGTGAGTAGATTTCGTTCACTTAACAAGAAGTGCTTAAACCGCAAATCACATCATCTTCGAAGAAAACAGGTCTGGAAAAATAAAACTTTCAATTTGTAGGTGTAGCTTTCAACGCTGCCTTCAACAACACCTTCATCGCCGCCTTCAACAACACCTTCAACGCCGCCTTCAACAACACCTTCAACGCCGCCTTCAAAGCTTCAGAGTTTCTTCACAAGACTTTGCCATGAAAGGTATGAAAACAAAGGTGCTAAGAACGGCTAATTTGTTAATCATGTAAATTTTTATTGCTATGACAGAAAAAAATTAGTCTCAATTCAAGTGCAAATGTAATGTGACAGTGGAAAAGAGCCCAAACGCTTTCGAACTCCTGCCTTTACATTTTCTTCATCAGCATCTACCAGGAAGTTTTGAATTAATTGGAAAAACCCTATGCTATTGATTCACTTAGAAGAGTATGTTTTTGCTCTTTCACGCGTGTTCTTTCACGACAAGAACACGCGTGAACGAAAAATGAAATATTAGAACGCATGAAGGAAAAAAGAAATCAATTGCATAGTTTCGCGCACTTCTCACAATTTTCTGGGCTCTTTTTTTGAAAGAAGTCCGATTATAACAATTCAAAGAGCAAAAATGGCTCTTTTTCCTTCCCCCCCCACCTGCAATTTTTTACAAGTAAAATTACTGTTGCCACCAACCGATCAACAAGAAAATTGGCATGCGGACTAATCGAGCCATGACAAACATATTTGGTCTTCATAATTAAACTTGTAAAACCACTCATTACATCATAAAATTGATGCTCATTGCTCATAGGTGGGGGGGGGGGAAGAGGAAAAAGAGCCGCAAAAACAAACAGAAACAGCAAAAACATACTCTTCAACAGTTAGAACATAGTTAAAAATGGCCTCGTACCCTCAGGCCGGGCTCTTTTTCCCTCGAACAGCTTTCAACTATGTTCTAACTACTACAAAGATCTAATAGATAAAGCACAGCTTAGCATGTTCATAACGACATGTGAGTAGAATCCAGTTGTAATTTCTGTGCTTAACGCTAGTTGAGTAATCTTTATTTGCAACCCCAGGTGAGAAAACACCCGGCTTAGCATTATTTAATCAATACTAAATTAAACTGTTTCTTTGTCTTTTATCTTTTCGGTCGGTTTGTAACGGTAGCCAGTTTCTATCGGCCAAGATCTTAATCCCTGCATAGATAAGGTCTGAGTACACAATCTATACACGAATTTATGTATAAACAAAGATTACCGGTTCCTGTGCATGTAGCACAGAATGTTCCGACATTTGAGCTTTGTTAGAAATTTATTTAAAAAGAAAATGAAAAACTACTATTCAATTTATTTTTCTGTTAGTTATCAAGTTCAGGGCGATTACGAAAAGAATGACGTGTTAACAATGTAAACCCAGAGTCAAAGCTGAGCTTCGCAGCACCTGCGATAAAATACTAGAACATAGTCAAAAAAAGAGAAAAAATTAATCGAAAAAACTTAAAATCGAAGAAACTAGATCTACTCTAAAAACAAAAAAAAACATAATAGTAAAATAAAAAATTTACTATCAGAAACCTTAAAAGCCGAAAAAAAATTTGATAAAAATTCGAAAAATCAAAACTATGAAAAATTGTTACAACTCATCCCCCTCAAAACGCACACAAAAATTCTTCCGCTAATCAAACGATGCAAAATGTGGCCGTTAAGCCGATATAAATTATCTTGAAACCAATTTAACCGAGGAAAAAAAAAAGGAAAAAAACATGTGAAGTTTCAACAAAGCTAATTGGTAAAATTACAGCCAACAAACAAATTTCGAATAGGCCGTATATTTGAAATGCTATCATGCTTGAAATATCTATATTGCAACAGAAAGGCCTAGTGGATGAACAAATCCAGAATCCAGGATATGAGACCTGTGCCTAGAGTTATTTATGGAAAAAAAGCCGATTGCAATACCCATACTAATCGCAAGGGCAAATAATGTTACGTTAAACAAGAATTAGGACTTCCGCCGTCAATTTCATTGTCATTAATCTTTACAGTGAATCGAAAAAAAATCCGAAAAATCGCTAGCTGGAAGGGCTTTAATATGATACCAGACTTGACCACAGACGGGTTTTACTTGATGTAGTAAACATCCGTCGTTACAAAACACCATTTTTCGAACTTTGTAGAATCTGAATCACGGCTGGCAGAAGGGGCTTAAATATGATACAGTAATAAACAGAAGCCAAGCAGAGCTTCGTACGACTTGCGAAGCTAAACAGAGATAGCACTGCAAGCTAGCAGACGGAAAATGACACAAAAGCCACCAAGCCGAAAAAAAAATTAAACACAGTCAAAGCGGAGCTTCACTTGAGATACTACAAGGCTAGCAAACAGGAAGGCAAAGAACAGCCACTAAGCCCAAATGAAACAAAAAAATTTCAAAGAAACCACCGCAAACACATTTCAAAACCTTGTCTGGAATGATATTCTATTAGCCGACAACACGTTCAGAAACAAATTCTACAGTGTTTAATGAAAATTTAAAAGCAATTATCGAGCGGAAACAACATTCTTGTCAAGAAAAACTTAGACTAGACATTTTATTCTGAAATTTTTAATGTTTTGTGCGATCCGGAGGAAAGCATACAAATTATGGTTCCCTCGAACAACCCAAATCAATTAGGCCGAAAAAATTTTAAAAAAAAACAAACGAAAATATAAGAAGTCATGGCTAGTAGATTTATAAACTGCAGGAGTAACTGAACACATAAAAAGCAACTACCATGCAAACTGCATACAGCAAAAAAATCTAAGATGCGGCAACTAAACCGACAAATCATAAGCAGCCAAATATTAAGCCGACAATTTCTTTGAAACTGAATATTTCCTGTTTGAAAAAAGGTAGGGTCAGGTAAGATTTGAATTCAAGACCTTTACTGTCCCAGGCGTATACGTTACATCCAGTCTAAGTGTACCGGTGTCGCTTAAAACTTTTAATTAGATAAAAACCAAGATACAAGTGATTCAGATAAACAAGTTGTTAACCCGAAACAAAGTCTATATTCCGATTTGATAAAGATTGCTAATCAAAGAAAAACTTAGATGGCCTTACATCTCTTTGGAATTTCTAGAACAATTTATGATTGACTTTTTTGATGAAATTGACCCATTTGAGAAAACTGAATCAATAGGTAAAATTTCTACTTCGCTGAGAAAATCGAAAATTAAATTCCACTTTCGAAACTAGAATTTTCGTGACCTTAACACTTCCGCTGTTGGATAAAGAAAAGCAATCAGAGTCAAACGAGATTAAGTTTACAATTGAATTGAGCTTACAAAAAAGTCTTAAAATTTAACCTATGACTTAGTTTATTGTTGAATTGAAACTACAAAATCTAAAATTGAATTTCTATAATTAAATTTGCATTCTTGATTGTTGCAGTGACAAATTTACGCATCAAGCGTGTATAAGATATACAGAATATTAATACATAACATCATTACTGACTAACAAAAAAACTAGAGATATTTGTGTAGCTCAAACTACAGCAATAGTTGCATTGGCAGTAAAGCAATTCAAATGAAAGTGCACCAAGGAGACTGTTATTTTCATTATGGATGGGCCCAATGCGCGAAAAGGTTCACCTTCTTTTTAACTGTCCACAAGTGACTGATTTTATGGCTTAATGATTTCAGATTTTCAATACTGAATTATGATTGGCTAAAATAACTTTCGGGTACTCGGTCCTTTTGGCTTGAGAATTTCACCATTGATTTCATCATCCACCAGTTCCTTTACGGAATACTTCAATTCAGACATAGGAACCCGAATATACTTTTCAAAAACTCATTTTTTGCGAAAATTCTAAGCTTTTAGAGACGCCAAAATTGAAATTGAAATATTTTGACTTAGAACATAACTTTTCTCACTAGCATGTTTAAAATGGTTTCATTATATCGAAAACGATGGTTTTGACTTTTCTTTTTTAAGCCACTCTCCAACTCTCCGTAGTTTTTTTCATGATGAAGCCCACTGAAACGACTGCACATTGAGATTAGAAATTTCAGAGCATCAAAATAAATATATTGAAGATAAATATATTGAAGTGTTTGATTGAATATAGGACTCTAAGGGCTAGACTAGCTGACACTATTTGCCTATACACAACATAATGCTACCAAATGCAAATAAAACCAAGGTCACTGCATGAATATCAAATATGTAAATAGGGACACCTCGGATTTCAGGGTAGTACTGAATTAAAGGAGACTATTATTTTACGAAAGTTACCCACAGAGAATAAGAGCGTTCTAAATAGGAGCACTTGATCAGAAATGAAATGAAATATGAGAACCATAAGTACCTACTTAATGCACCATATTACATATACAGCTGAGGTCATTCATTGCATTATACTGAGAGACATGTTTCGGAGGCAACTTTGAACCAAATCAGATTGACAAACTAGCAAGTCTTCTAAACATTCTATTTGAATTCAGCAGTAGTGCAAAAAACGTAACTGAGCGATCAAATAAATCATAGAAAGCAATAAATATGTATTAGAATAATTGTACCATTGGTTTCAGTTTTTTACTGAAGACTGAAATGACCAGTTTAAGTTACTGAAAAACTAATTTCAACGACAGCAATATTAGCTTTGCTATTCTGTTTCAGTTGCGTGAGTGCAATCCAACAGCGTTAGCGAAGACAGAACTTGCTCAGAGTCGTTGCAAAATAAGTAACCTGTGAATCAGCAAGAAGCTCCATTCCAAGGCGTGTCCAAGTAATCAAATCAATGAAAGGCGTGCATAAAATTTTGAACTGTTTGCTATAACACCTGTTCGAAGCACTACTACACTAACAACCTCATCACGACGATCTCGTTCTAGTTCATAGTGGGACTACCACTTGGACGAAGCTGACTGGGAACCTGCCCACTCTCGGGTTCCCGTCCAGACGTCCCTCCAACCAGTTGTCGTCAACCTTGCGCGTGAGCATGATCTTCTGACCTTCCTTGAAACCCAGTTCCTCTGGTGACTCTGCATCGAAGTCAAAAGTCGCTATGCAGTGGGGCCTGGAAGACAAAAAACACATAGCCAACAAACTGTCTTTAACTTTTAGAAACAAACCACCTGAAAGCTCTTTGAATTTAAAGAATCATTGATGATTGATCATTTAAACCAAATAGAAAAAAACTGGGTCGATGGGGTATTTTTTCATTCCATTTTCATTAATAAAAACTTAACATAGCAAATAGACGGTTGGAAAAAAGCAAACGAACGCAAGGAAAAAAATGACTTTTGTTGATCTTCAACTTTCGAATTTCAAGTAAAAAAATGACCTTAACCCTCATTAAACTTCGAGACAACACTTTTGATTGATGAAATTAACTCAATTTGAGAAAACTGGATCAAAAGATAAATATATTTTGCTGTGAAATTTTACTTTCGAAACTATAAGTCATTCTAAAAGAAAAAAGAAAGGTTTTTTTTTCGCGCCATTTCCACGTTCCGTGTCTGGACATTTGTGTACAAGACATTTAGTTCCTGGAAAAACTATCCAAAACACAAGAATATTCCAAGAATTTGTCCCAAAATTTTCAAGGTAATTGCCACACTAGTTAATGAGCGGACTAATTTGACAAGCTCTCAATAGGAGGGATCAAAGGCCACACAACAGTGCAATTAGACCAGAAATTTCTTTGAGTTACACATACCTACACAATTATTGCTTGATTGATAAATTTGCCAAGACACCTCAATTTCGTTTTTTATCTAAATGCAATGGCCGCGTTCACACTTTCCAAGAGAACCTCACTATTAGAAACGGAGGTTCAGAACAAGAGCAATCGTTGCAGATGATCCACCACGCCAAGAAATTCTTTCCGTCCAAAAAGACTCAACAGAGAGACTGTAGCAGTAATCCCGAGCTATTCGGCCAACCAGAGGACCGTTAACAGAGTAAAACAGGACAAACGGCCTATAATGCAGGAACCAAAATCCTGAACTTATTTTGAGCTGCCAGAGTTGCTGGAAATGAAACACAGTGGCGAGAGTTTCGCTCATTTTGACTGTGGACGTAATGATACGAATCGACTATGGTTTTCAGCACTCTTCCAGGACTCGATGTTCTGAGTGGCGCTGATGATTGGTTCTGCGATGAAACCTTTTCTACGGCACTGAGTGTGTTATTTCAGATATACGCTATACACGCATCAGTCGAGGGATCTCTGATATCTACTGTGTATGAGTTGCTACCAGACAAGAATGAAGTAACCTATATTCGTCTTTTGAGCTGTTTTGACATAGAATTTCCCAAACAAGCAAGCATTGATTTCGAAATGCTGGTCATAGATGCGTTTACCTCAAAATCCGAAAATATACAAAATTAATACTGCTTTTTTCAGTTGTGCCAAAGCGTCTGGCGTCATATTCTGGGGAAACAAACAACTATACACTAGATCTAGAGTTTCGAACTGAGACAACCCGCCCAATCTTCAACCACTTCGGGGAAAAATACATTGGTGGATTCCCGGCAGCAAATGGAGCACGACAAAATCCCAGATTCGACGTTGACAGCTTGATGTGTCATCGTGTTACACCCGTGCGTCCGAGAACCAATAATGCTGTTGAAGGTTAGAATAGCAACTTCCTTAAGCACCCATCATTCCCAAAACTCATTGAAAAACTCCTGAATGAACAGAAAAACGACAAAATCTTTCTCGAAAAATGATGTGCTGGGCAAAGAGTGTCCCGTTACAAGAAATCTCTATATGTCAAACTTGAAAAAAAACTTTCGAGTTAGTTGCGGCCTGCGACCCAAATAAACTTCTAAAAGGGTGCAGCAGCTGGAAGAATGTGGAGGAAGTTGAAGTATTTCAAAATTGAGCTAGACTCGAAAACGACAAAATGATCAATGTAATGAAGCTTTTTCCATCCCCTTCCCTTTCGGCCCAACCGAGTCAGCCCGTTTCAAATTTGCCCTTATTTGCCTGATTATGGGTTTTTTCAATTTCAAATTTTACCCAACTTACCAACGTTTTGATCTTGAAAGTAGTGACTGCACCGCTCGACCGAACACGCTTTTAAATTTTAATTTTTTCTTCTTGAATATTTTTTTTCTCGCTTTCATTGTTCTATGGTTATTAGGTATGCATAGAATGTAATTACAAAACGATGATACAAAGGCGAAAGAACAAAGCATTAAACATCACATGGTCAAATCAAAAGAGATTAATTTCGCAAAACAATTTCGGATAATTTTGTCTGGGACATAAATGTCTGGTACAATTTCGAACTGTTTTGTCAAGGACAAATGTCTGGGACACAAGTTTATGCACCCCACTTTCGTATTTGGGGAGTTCAATTTACCTACTTTCAGCAGATCAATTTAAATTGAACTCAAGAAGTTCAGAAATACCTAAGTGCATCATAAAAGCATTAGTTTGAATGAATGCACATCTGTAGTTATCAGAGCACTTCAGACTTTTTTTACGAAAAAAATATAAAAAAAACACCAAGACCTGTATAAGTCTTATTCACTAGGTTCATCGACTCTTAAAAAACAACATCATTTTCTTGTACATTTGTAAGACAAATTTTACTGGAAAAAATCTAGTTCCAGATTACAAGACACTTGATCCCGCAAGTGATAACAAAGTCATTCAGGTTTTTATTAACTTCATTTGCATTTATGCCTTTGACGAGCGTTATTTGCCTCCCATGTAGCAAATGAAGTTTAAGAGATCTTAAGAAATCGAAAGTCAAACCGACACAGCCTAAATAAGCAATTCAGTTCGCTCATTGACACTTAAGCTGCCTGAAAATTGTACTACCTGCGAGGGACAGAGGGTAAACTAGGAGCAGGTCCCAAATTAGCTGGCCTGGGAGCCACGGGGGGAGGCTTCACTGGTTGAGGAGGATTGAGCGATGGATACAATGAACTTCCCGATGACGGGTTGGACGACCCCCCGAAGTCCGATCCAAAATGAGCCCCAGCAGCCCCGGATGAGTTCTGTCCGATGCCGGAAGCTGACCAATGGTCTGCTGATTGTGCAGGAGTGGGTGTGGAATTGGATGGTAGCTCCCATGGGTCTTGGGAGACGGGAGCGTGGGGTCCGTTGCGGGCACCATTAAGCATAGAACTGCTGCTTGCAAGGTCTGGATTGCGAGGAGTGAGGTTAGAGCTCGTGCCGAATTGGTTCAAGTCACTAGGAGCTGAAACAGCGCAAAAAATTAAGAACTGCTAGTTAAAAATAAAAAGTGAAAATGACATGCAGAAAATACAATAAGGTGCAAATGATAACTTTGAGGTTAGAGCATCGCGTTTTTTTTTTTACTTTTCAGCGGTATCAATGAATTTCTTTGAGACATCTCTTCAAGGTAAAGCCTAAAATACACTCATTTGCTAATATCGGTAACAATTACAATTTGATGATTTGAATAGACAATAAATGGCCCATCCAATTGCTACACTTGACACCAAACTTTGAGAACCAGTCACTAAAAGTCTTAAAATCACAATGATAAAACTAGTCGAAGACTGCCTTTTAGATTCCATAATGAGTGATCAAAAAGTTAGATCCATGGGTTAAACCGGAAGTTAGATTGAGGAGAGCAAGCAGAAAGGCGGGCGGGCAAGGGTGAGAAAAGAGAACTTTCTGATTAGTCGTTTGTGGGAAGTTAATTTGAGTCTTTGTCAGTAGTAATGATGGAGAGCGAGAGAACATATTGTTAACCACTGATGGAGGACAATACCTGGTGGCAAGGAATAAGGCGGTAGATTGTGACCTGATAACAAGTCTACTCTGAGATTGAGAATGCTTCTATTAATTATAGTTAAGCGGAGAGATGATATCATATGATTGAATAGTGATCAAATGCCGTTCCTTTTCTTCAAATCATACCACCTCCGTTCTAAGCCAATTTTGGTTCGCTCGCACAAACCAACTGATTAATCGTTACATTTATTTGCTTATCATATTACTGTCCAGTTGAAGCTTACTGGATGTTGAGAGACTGCTGCTGTTTGCTAGGGAAGTCGGTGGCTGGAGTTTGAAGCCGGAACTAGAACTGTTGTTTGTTCCGAACCCGAAGTCTCCAGCGGAAGACCCGCCCCCGTTGGTGAAACTGGGAGGTCCACCCCCAAACGGCACTTCAGCCGAGGGGGTTGAGGCGACGGAGGCTGCTTTGCGTGGTGCTGCAGTGGGAGGAGTGGTTCCTCCCGAGAGAGATCCCGAACTCACCTTAGGTCTGTTGGCCGATTGTATCTTTGCCTCGTCAATACTGAAAAAATGCAGCCCTATTATGGGCACTATCAAGTTACACTTTCAAAAAATTAAGTAGAAAGAGATAAACTTTTTTTGAAAGTTAGGTGACCTTTTTTTACATCCTGTTAAATCATTTCGTGAGCTTCGCCAACAGAAAAGGAAACATTTTTTATCAGAGAAAATTGTACATCAATCGAATTGTTCTTTTTTTGTTAAACCGAACATAGCCAACATTCAGTTTCCCACATTCGTAATTGGAGAACCTTATTTGGCTTCCTTTCAGGAAATTAATGTGGATTGTACATTACAAAAATCAAAAGTCAAACCACAAAAGATGAAATTTGGCGTGAAATATGTTCATTCACACTTAAAAACAAGGATGATCGTTTGCTGTACTCGTATCATAGCTTTCAGTGACGTCGTCAAAACAATAATAGCCAAATTGAGCCAAAAAAAACTGTCCTATTTTCCCAACTCCGGAGTACTCACTCATACAGCATTCAACAATTGATTACAGCTAATTGGCGCATCTTTTTTGTGGCAACGGATTTAAAACAATAAATATGTTGGTTAAGGGCAAAACTAGTGTAATTTAGGGTAGAGTTAATTTACCTGGACTGCAAAGTGGTCTGTATCTTGCGCAGTTGGGTTAGGGAGCTGCTGAAATAGTCTATCTGCAGGTCCACCAGCGACTTCAGAGTGGCCAACACCTCAACCTAACAAACAGCAAAATGACAAAACTAGTTATTTCGATATCTATCACTTTCAGCGACCAATGCCTATTTCTCCATGAGTCAATTAATACTTTGTTAGAGACTCTACACAGAATCGGTAAATTTATAAACAGAGGCGAAGTTGCACTTCGCACACACAAGCAAAAATATGACCGATAACGCTACTGGGAAAAACTGAATGAGTAAAATTTTGAGTCTACAAAATTTCTTAAGTGACGCACACCAATTATGAGTATATATAACTGCTAAGTGACGCAAGCCAATTAGGACGCATTAGCAGTACCAGTCAATTTGAAAAAAAAAAAAGAAATTTACTAACTAATACGCCTCAATTTATAGAGCGGACGCATTTTAAAAAGTATACAAAAACGTTCATTAAAAACATCCGAACCTGCCCAGGTTCGAGCCCTCTTATCTTGTTGCGGGTCTTCTTCCCTACCTTAACGCTACAGATCCATGATACCGTGAATCTTAATTGCTATTTGTAAAAAAAAAATGTGCTAATATCCTTGGCATTGACTGTACTTAATAGCTGCTTATTGATCAAAATGATCACTTTCAAAATGGACACATTTTTTCGCAACAACATTTACGTCACAAAATTATTTGCGAATTGGGTTGAAAAAAAAGATAGTTCATACTCATACTATAACGCAAGCTTTGCTTGTGCAATGAATTCAGTTTAACTAACTTTGCTACAGGGGCAAAGTACCACTCCGCATACAAAAGAGAAAAATGATCTTTAAACAATGGAGTCTGCTTGGCCCAAAACACATCCAGCAGACAATGAAAAATTGTCATCTACTCAAGGTAACCAAAAACAGTAAGTCAAATGAAAAGTATGTGATTTTATATTCTTCTGCATTTTTTGACAAAAAATATTATACAAGGTATTATTAACTAGTTTTTCAGCTTATGGTCTACTTCAATCGCCCTTAACTGAAATAAAAAACAACAAAATTTACGCAAAGATATTAAGTACAGTCAATGCCAAGGATATTAGCACATTTTTTTTTTTACAAATAGCAATTAAGATTCACGGTATCAAAAATCTAATTTTCGAAAAAAATATCTTTGCGTAAATTTTGTTGTTTTTTATTTCAGTTAAGGGCGATTGAAGTAGACCATAAGCTGAAAAACTAGTTAATAATACCTTGTATAATATTTTTTGTCAAAAAAATGCAGAAGAATATAAAATCACATAATTTTGAACTTTACATATTTAGATCAGCCTTCGCTATTTTTTCCACTCGATACCAGCTGAAAATCCCTTGCGAAGTTTACAATCAAAATGCGACAAAATTTATCAAGAACTGGGATGAGATCAATTAAAGCTAAATCCTGCAAATTTAGACAACAAAAAATAGTAATGAACAATGAATATACATAGAACCAATAGACAGATGTGACTGCCAATGAAATCAAGGAAAACAAAAAACATGTAATATCAAAAAAAAGATATCACACTAGAACTACTTGATTTTCAAATAACATTGTTGTTTTAAACTTTTTCATAAATTCACCCAACGACTTAAATTGAGAGTCAACCATCAAAAAATTAAATTTGAGCGTGAGCAACTTATAACAAGACATCGCAAAGCTAATTAGGCGAGAATAAAAAAAGCAATGTTTTAACAGAGAAACAAAGCCTCACTTCGCAAAAAAAATGCAAAAAGTAGCTTTAAATCGACTAATAAATACAAAAAGGCAAAAAAACCTTAGTGTTTTGAAAATTAAATGTCCTCTATGTGAATCGAACCACAAGTATCCGAGGCATCAAGCATCCGAGTCATCTACACTACACAACTGAGGTTTACAGAACCAAAAAACAGCGTAACTTTTAAATACTTTGACAAAGCGTAGACCGCATGCTAATACTCTGCAGCAAAAGTAATAGCTAAAAAATGAGACTATTTAATAAGGATTGGTTTGAAAAAAAATGGAAAAATGATACTTGCAGTACGAAAATTTACATTTAAATAAATGTTTTGCATTTCTTATATACGTCTACACAGAGGAGAAGCTACGCTTCGCAAATAATTGCGAGAACACGACCAAAAAGCAGCTCTATCAAGTGAAATAAAAAAAAGTAGAAATAAGCCTCAAATTAGCAAAAGCTCGGCAACGTTTCGGATTCGAACCTGTGACCTAGCACATTTGAGTCTCACGCACTTACCACTCAGCCACGTTTGCTTAAAATCCCTAAAACCTAGCCACCAGAAACGCTGCTACATATGCTAATAAATTGCCAATTCGATGCAGCAAAAGTAGCATAGCAACAAATACAAAAAGACACAAATTTGCATGTAACACAGAGGCTAAGTTGCACTTCGCATACAAAGCAAAAATATGACCGATAACGCTACTGGGAAAAACTGAATGAGTAAAACTTTACAGAACTTTTTAAGTGACGCACGCCAATTATATGAGTCTACATAATTGCTTAGTGACGCAAGCCAATTATGACGCATTAGCAGTACCAGTCAACTTGAAAAAATAAAAAAATTACCAACTAACATGCCTCAATTTATAGAGCGGACGCATTTTAACTAAAATACGAAAAAGTTCATTAAAAACAACCGACCCTGCCCAGGTTCGAACCCTTTTATTTTTCGCGGGTCTCCTTCCTTACATCTACGTTACAGATCCATGCTAACTTGAAGCTACATTTGTAATTTAATAGCCTGTATTAATATCCTTAGCATTGGTTTTACTTAATAGCTGGATCAAAATGAACACTTTCAAAATGAACACATTTTGTCACAACAATAGCTTGGAAAAAAAGAGTTCATACTCTAACACAAGCTATGCTTGTTTAATAAATCGCAAAGCATAAAGCCACATGATGTATAAGTAAGGCATTTCAAAAAATTGCGAAATATATTGAGCTAGAAAATTTCTAAAATCGAGTTTTGATTTTTGCTTTGATCATTCGAATTTCAAAGCACATGCTATCAATAAGCTGTAAAGGTGTCCCAAAAGTGCACTTTGCACTTTGATAACGTAAAGAATGTCCAGAAAACTTCCAAATATGCAATACACAATATACACGTTTGATTTTATGCGACAGGTCCACTTTTCTAATCAGAAAACGTTTTTTCTGCTCAACTTGGAAAATTAATCTGGAAGAGCTTCACAAGAAATCAAACGTAATACAGAACACACTAAAATTATATTTAAATCGGCATTTTGGGAACTTTTGATCATAAATATGCAGAGCAAAATGAAATGAAGATCGATTTAAAAACGGTATTACTGGTGATTAAAACCAAACTTCGTAGTCAAACTATTTAAGAGTCTTGTCTGACTATCAGTTATATTTTTCGTATATTTTCAGGAAAAATTTACGTCATCAGATGGGTTGAAAGAATTATCAATTTAAAGCACGGAATCTGAGCTCATCTAAATAAAAAATTCGAATACCGTTTCATCAGTTTCCATAAGAAACTATTGGAAATCTATTGGCATTTGAGCGCTCAGAGATGCAAAAGATCATTTCTCTAATTACCCAGACTAATTCACTAATTTGACATTAAAAATATAATATTATGATTATTTTTCCTTTCTAGTCTCATTTGAACCCAATGATAGATTGGACTGCTCAGGTGGCTGACTGTCCCCCATTACAGCATTACAGACAATATGATTCTTGACTGCACTGTGTTATAAACTCGTTCTCGTATTCTAACTGCTTTTGGACAGTACCGCCAAAAAAGCGAACTATATGGAATTGGCGTCGATTTGGTGCATGAAAGTGACGCTAAAAGTAGACTTATGGCGAGGTTAAAGACATGCACTGCATTTTTTCAATAGTGTGTTCAATGAAGCAAAAATAGAGTAGGAGAAGAGAGCTATTCAAAAAAAGTTCATTCAACCGAAAAAAAATTAACGAGACGGTTCTATCAGTGCAATGTATCAAGTCAACCGGTTTGATGTTCATATTTTTTAAAGATAGGAAACTGTGTTCAAATCTTTTCTAAAATGAAAATTGTTTCAAATTTTTCCAATTGCATCATGTGCTTGTAAACATGTCGGCTAAATGAACTTTCTTAGCGATGAACAAAATTCTGAACGTGGGTGTGAAAGAAGAGAAAAAGAGAAAGGTGAACAAAAGGTTGAGAGAAAAGGTGACCTCCTTGAATGTGACGTTGAAGTAAAGTCCAATAATGAGCCATGCAAGAAAAGGAAAAAAAGAGGAAGAAATAAAAAAAGAAATAAAAAATCTACAGGAGCTGTTCTCAGCTGCCGATTATCCATTTACATTTCCTCGCGGCCCCCAAATTCAATTCTCGCTTATTAGCATCATCAGAATACGTAACAGCTATGCAATTTATTTGAGGTCATGAATCATTTGGTTTCCGTCCGTAATTTCACGTCGAAAGTACAATGATACTACCAAATAATTTCAATGAGCTGCATTTGACGAGACCAAAACATGGTGCATTTAACGACAGATTCTTTGAAATTGCTTTCACTGTGCGACCGCCCAATTCGACTGATCGCTGTTTTTTTTTAAATTGAGTTCCGCAAAACATGTTACATGACCACTAAACTGTGCCCATGAGAGCAACCAAGAACTCTCGTGATTGGCGCATTTTTCGCCTGACCTTAACCAGTTTGAGAAAACCCGAATCAATATAATTTGTCAATTTTACTTAAAATGGTGAAAGCACAAAAATAAGCACAAAAATAAGAGGAGCACAAAATTTTAACAGAGAGTTTCGAGCCACTAGCCATACAAAGCAACAGAGCGTGGCAAACCAGCCGACAGAAAATGAAACGAAGTCGCTACGCCGAACCACAATTTAGAAGTATCTTAACTTCCACGTGTTCGTCTAGAATTGTCTTACATAACATTCATTTTGAGAAAACAATGTCTAGAAATACAATTGAATCTTAAATCAGCATCACAACAAAGCTAGCAAGCCGTAAAAAAGACGACAATACTTCAGCGGATACCCGTTGAGCAAGTGTCAAATTAAAAAAGTTTAAATTTCCATAGGTAGTTTGCATTTTTTCAAATTAAATGGATTATTTAGCAAACTAATTTGAAGTGAACTCAAAATTTATAACCAAAATTTCTGTTAAGTTTCAAAATTATGATAAAACATGTCAAATATTTCTGCTCATAGAGAGGAGAGCGACACTTGAACGAAAAGTTGGATGAGTAAGAACAAGAAAAAAGAGCAACTTCGACTTGACTGCACATCTTGACTGAACAAGAGCAACTTCCACTTACATCTGAGTTGATGAGGGAGCGCATGGCGGCGTCGCAAGACTGCTTACTCTCGTTGAACTTGTCCTCCGATATGCTCATCTCAGCCTCACTGATCTGCTTGCCCTTCTCTCGCTGCCTCTTCTTGCAGTCATAGTCCAGACGCCGAGACTCCAACTTCTTCAGATTAGCCTACAACAACACAACACAGCGTACACACAATATACAAACTCGCTTCTGAGAGACAGAAAAATTAACTTTTGGAGGAGCCTCAACTTTTGGAGGAAAACTAAAAACTTGAATGTCTCTGGATTAATAAAAAATAAGGGGCAATTTTCTGGCAATAAATAAGCTGATAAGGCACAATTCGATCTAATTGAGCCACACAGGCGCGGATTTAGGAATTTCTCGAGGGGGGGGGGGGCGGATTTTGAAACAATTTTTAATGATCCTATTCAATTTGAAATGCATATTGCTACGAGTTATATTCAGACAGGCTATTGAAATTTATTCGGTTTCTTCCTTTTTCATCTGATGCGGACTCACTGTTACATGCGATGTCATCCATCATCTCTTCAAGTAATCATTTTCAATAATTTTACAGCTAACTTCAATCAAAAAAGCTGGGTCAATTTACCATTGTCTTCCCTAAAGCGGGGGAGCGTGTTTTCTGATCAGGGGAGGATCTAGAATTTTCTCGAGGGGAAGTTGGGGGCTTAATTTCAGGCGGATCTAGGTATTTGTCGAAGTTGATGAGGGGGTAGATTTTCAAAAAAAAAATATTTAAATTTTGTCGACCTATTTTTAAGTCGACCAAATTGATTTTCTGAGCTCTCCTAAACCACTATAAAGACCCCAACTTGACACAATTTTCTGCGCAGCAGCCAAATTTTGAAAAAAAGGCCAAGAAAAGCGTTTTTAGGCACTTTTTGGGAAAATTTCGACCAAAAAAAATTGCAAATTGCGTTTTTTTTTTGGCGCGCGCTCCCCTCTCAAAATTTGTATAGACTAGTGTGTAACGCATCTCCGGTGCTTCGAACTTTCAACAACTCAAAAACTATTCTTTGAGTGTACTCTGACAGCATTCAATTAAAGGGTTCGTAATTGCAAATTTTGCAAAGTTTTTTATTCAAGTTTTTTATACAAATTTTGAAGAACCATAAAATTTTGTGAAGTTTTATATAATTTCTTCAAAAATTTTAAAATGAACTAAGAAACATCACATCCGGGAAACTGAAAGCAATTGAGCAGTCGCATTTGGACGCAAGATTTCCAACTCCTGAGAGTAATCTTACAGTACCCCACTACAACGTTGGGAAATTCAAATTTTGAGAAACTTCACCTTAAATTTTCTATATAAAAAAGGTATTCACATCTCGTTAACTACCAAAATTTGAGCAGTCTTTTCTGATTGCAATAATCGCAATCTTTGAAAGTACACAACTACACGGTTGGGAATTTCACTTAAACGGATTATTTTGTAATTTGAGTGTTCTGAAAATTTCCAAAAAAAATCACAAAAATCGCGTTATCTCGTAACAAAAAAAGATTTGGGCATTCTCACTTAGAGGCCAAATTTGTATAGACTAGTTTGTAAACCCCTGAGATTACTCTGACAACCCTCCAACTACAGGTTAGGAAATTCAAACTTTGGAAAAAAAAAAATTTAATTTTCATAAAAATTTTTTGAAAAAATTACAAAAAACGTCATATATGGGAAACTACAAAAATTTGAGCAGTCAAAATGGGAGGCAAAACTCTCAACTCTTGAGAGTACACTGATAGAGCCTCACTACAGAGATGAAAATTTCAAGTTTTGTGAAATTTTTTATAACTAAGTTTTCTGAAAAATTTTGAAAAAAAGATAATAAAACGTCATATCTCGAAAACTACAAGAATTTGAGCAGCCACAATCAGAGACAAGATTCGCAGTCCCCTGAGAGTACCCTCACAGATTCCAATAACAGGATTCAGATCTTCAAACTATGGAATTTTCCAACATTTAAATTTTTTTTGAAAATTTCAGAGAAAAACAAAAAAACGTCATATCTCGAAAACTACACGGATTTGAGCAGTCAAATTTGGCGGCAAAATTCGCAGCTCCTGAGAGTACCCTGACAGAGTCTCACTACAGTGGTGGTAATTTCAAGTTTTGTGAAATTTTTTTCATCTAAGCTTTCTGAAAAATTTTTAAAAAATCCATTAAAACGTCATATCTCGAAAACTACAAGGATTTGAGCAGCCATAATCAGAGGCAAGACTCGCAACCCTTGAGAGCACCCTCACAATATCCAACAACAGGATTGAGATCTTCAACGTTTTGGAAATGTTTGAAATCTACTTTTTTTGAGAAATTTTGAAAAAATCATAAAAAACGTCATATCTCGAAAACTACGTGGATTTCAGAAGTGAGATTGAAGGCAAGATTCGCAATTCCTGAGAGTACCCTGAAAGCACCCAACTACAGGATGAAAATTTTTGAAATCAATTTTTCAAGAAATTTTTGAAAAATCTCGAAAATTGCCTATCTCGTAAACTAAAAGGATTTGCTTATTCATATATGGAGGCCAGAATCGCAAAACATGGGAATATCCTACTATTGGTTTGCTAATTTCAAACTTGATGAAAGAAACACTGAATTTAAACTGGGAAATTTACAAAAACTGTAACCATTGCAATATACGATATAGCTTAAACGTGAAAAAATTCTTTTGTTAAATATGCAAAAATAATACGTTGAAAAAGCTTTAACATGGCGAGATAGTGAAGCCCGCATTTAAATATACAATAGATAGATGAAAAACTAGGCGGCGGGTAGACAGACATAATCAAATTAATTAAAAAAGCAGGTATACAGACAGACAGACATACTTAATTTGGCCTGTAAAAAATACTGAAAAATTAATGGCTTTGCTGGAAAACTAATTGAAAAAATTTCTTGATCACTGCAATATATGATAAAATAGCTTAAACATGAAAAAATTCTTTCGTTAAACATGCAAAATTATTATGCTTAAGCATGGGAGAGTATAGATAGATAGATAGATAGATAGGTAGATATAGATAGATTGGCGCCCGCCGAAGGCGCCTCTAGAAAAATTTTAAAGTCAGTCAGCCAAAAATGAATATCTCAAAATAGTACAAAAGGGAGACCCTTTGGCTCGGCAGGGGGTCGAATTCCTGGGGAGGGGGGGGGGGGTCGTCCGCCCCCTCTCTTAATCCGCTACTGGAGCCACATCAGCTAAAATATCGCCAAAAAGTTTCTGCGCAGTTGTTGTTGTCGATTCATGAGCTGTGAGGGATCCGAAAGATTCTGTACATCTGAGGTAGCTGTATTTTTTCCCAGATTGAGTTAATGAGATTCAGACATAGTACGGAGGTCTTCACAGACACAAAACTTGTTTGCAATGAAGTTTTAAGCTTCGGCTGTCATAGATGTTGAATATCGTAAAATGCATGGTTCTCTATGATTTCTATCTTTCAATTACGGATCTGGCCACCTGAACTTTCAAATATAGCTCAGAAATTGAGCCAGCTTTCTTGAGAAACATTTTAAAATACACCAGACTTTCTTCCGCGAAAGACAGAAAAAATAGAACAAGAATCATTGATTCTACTGGTAAGTAACTGCAAACCTTGAAAAAATTGTGCCACTTCGATGCCCTCAAACCTGTACTGCTATTGTAACTACTATCTTTAACTAGTTTATGACTTTTGCGCGGGACAGTTTCAGTATAGATTGGTTCGTTGACACTTCTTCGTAATTTTAGCAGCTTTGCAGATACAACTTTGCAGAGACTAGTTTACGGGTCTAAGATTTCTGATGATCAAATTTTGAAGATTTGAGATACGGGAGAACTCAAAAAGTAACAAAAATGCTGCAAACGATCTCCTTCGAGAAGTTAATCTGTTAGAAAATTTCTTCACAGGAGAAAAAAGAACACCTTATTGTACGGCACATGTCATGGGTGTCTAATCAATGTTTTAAAATCTCAAGAGTTATACACACAGGCGAAGCCGAGCACCACTTGCGATACCAAACAAACATAGCATTAGAATCTAGCAGGCAGAAAATGAAATGAAAGCCACTAAGTCGAACACATCTACATAAGCGTCCAAGTTTTTTCTCGAACGATGTTCAATTAGAGGGAAACACGGCCAGCCATGCATCCGCTGGCGTTAAATAAGTAATCAGAAACATTTGAGCGGCAAATGAACCAAGAAATTAAACATCAGTCCAAACCCATTCGGCGATTTAAGCTTATAATCGAAGTCAGAGTTAGTAAAAATAATTATTACAGAAATGAATCAAAAACGCTTTAAATTACTATGAAAAATGCTTAGGCCAAATGATTCAAATAGCTTGATAAACTAGTTGTTAACGTTGAAAAAGACAAAATTCCCGATTCGATAACGCTTGCTAATCGCACGGGTTAAGCTCAAGAAAATCAATTCTGAAATCTGATCAAAACTATATGCGTAGTAAAAAAGCCAACAGACAATCGGTAAGGAGTTAATTGAAAACTCAACAAAATTTAAAAAAAAGGACTGATTTGTTTTCAACTTTTTTAAAAATTATATAAATCCGGAGAAAAAAAGCTTTGATTTTCAAGAAAATAATATTACGGGCCTTCTTTCATGAAATTAGCCCTATTTGAGAAAACTGGGTCAAAGAGTAAATTAATGATTCCGCTGGGAAAACGAAACATAGCCAGCAGACAGTTAAAAAGGTCAATGAATTCAAGTAGCCCGAGAGAAAGGCTTCTGCATATCCCCCTTTCGTAAAATTTATCTATTGCTATTCAGTAAAATTATAACAAACAGGCAAAAAGCAGAGCTTCGCAAACACATGCAAGAATAGTAAAAGAGCTATAAAATTGCCAACAGGGAAATGAGTAAGAAAGCTCTGAAGATTTAGCCGTAAACAAGTATCGAGCCATCGTCCTCAGGATTATCAAGCATTCGAATTTCTGAGCGAGCCAGACGTCATAGGTGTCTAAGAGTTTACACATCATGAAATACAATCTGACAGTCAACATACAAAAAAATAACGCCGATAAAAGCATAATACAAAATAAACATTGAAAAAACATAAGTAAAAAAAATGAAAATGTCGAAATTACTATGAAAAATGCTTAGGCCAAATGATTCAAGTAGCTTGATAAACTAGTTGTTAACGTTGAAAAAGACAAAAGTCCCGATTCGATAACGCTTGCTAATCGCACGGGTTAAGCTCAAGAAAATCATTTCTGAATTCTGATCAAAATTATATGGCAGTAAAAAAGCCAACAGACAGTCCGTAAGGAGTTAATTGAAAAAAAGGACTGATTTGTTCTCAACTTTTAAAAAATATATATAAATCCGGAGAAAAAAGCGTTGATTTTCAAAAAAATTATATTACGGGCCTTCTTTCATGAAATTAGCCCTATTTGAGAAAACTGGGTCAAAGAGTAAATTTATGATTCCGCAGGGAAATCGAAACATAGCCAGCAGACAGTTTAAAAATGGTCAACGAATTCAAGTAGCCCGAGAGAAAGGCTTCTGCATATCCCCCTTTCGTAAAACTTATCTATTGCTATTCAGTAAAATTATAACAAAGAGGCAAAAAGCAGAGCTTCGCAAACAAATTCAAGAATAGTAAAAGAGCTATAAAATTGCCAACAGGGAAATGAGTAAGAAAGCTCTGAAGATTTAGCCGTAAACAGGTATCGAGCCATCGTCCTCAGGATTATCAAGCATTCGACTTTCTGAGTGAGCCAGATGTCATAGCTGTCTAAGAGTTTACACATCATGGAATACAATCTGACAGTCAACATACAAAAAAATAACGCCGATAAAAGCATAATACAAAATAAACATTGAAAAAACATCAGTAAAAAAAGAAAATGTCGAAGAAAACAAGGTCTACCAAAAGTTTCGCATGTTTCGATATAAGTTCATTTTGGGCAAACATGCCAAGTAAAACATTTGAAAATTCAATGAGCAACGGAGCAAAACTTACGAAGCAAAAACTCAGCCGACAATCTATTGAGCCGTAAAAAATTATTGATTGGACATAAATTGAGCCGAAAAAAATTATTTTACAAAAAAAGTCCCCCCGAAACTACAATGAGTAACATTTGCAACTACATGAAAATTGCTTGTTGCAAAAGTGATGTGATGTGGCAATTAAGCCGACAAAAATTAAGAAAACAAAGGAAAGTCCAAAATTCAAATTTTACCGAAAATGTCATATTCATACACTGAAAAAAACAAGGGTGCAATAGCGACCAAGTTAAACCTAGGCGATGTGGGGACAGGTCTGGAAGTTGTTTATGTTCAATAATAAAGCAAGGAAAAAAAATCAATTAAGATTTGATAATAAAGCTTCACTTTTAAGCAATTAAGACTTTGTAAGAAAGCAAGTTTCCGATTACAAGACATTTGCTCTCCCAGGTGAAATAAATTTGCGCGAATTTGGTTGGCAAAAGTGAGCCCGTATTGTAAAACTGTTTGTGCATGAACTCGTTTATTACATCAACCATTGAACTCTTTGGAAATATTTCTGAAGTTTTTTGTCTTTCGCACGATTTTCTCTTTCTCATGTTTTCCAGTGAAAACAAAATGAATTTCTGTAGAATATTTATAGTTTATATTCAAAAACATAGCCAACTTTCGAATTTAAAGAAAAAACCTATGCTCTTAAAGCTCTTTGAAATTCAAGAACACTTTTTGACTGATGCTTTTTTTGATAAGATTAACCCAATTTGATATTGAGAAAACTGGATCAATGGGTAAAATTTTTATTAAGCTGAGAAATCTGATCCATCCAAAAAAAATCCACTTTCGAAATTAGAAGTCGCTCACGTTTTTTGTGACATTTACACTTTAACTGTTCTATAGAGTGGGTTTTCTTCGTTTTCACAAAGGAAATGAACTGAACTTAAAAAAAATCAAAAATCAAACCGCAAAAAAAATCCTATTTTACCATACACAAATTTTAGAATTTTCGTGAAACAAATTCTATATTTGTCCCCTTTCCTACTCTTAGAACATTCTGCTTATTGACCGGCCACTATATGCAGCAAAAAATTTCCAAACATGCTGTTGAATGAATAATTGAAAAGGGAACTGGTGTATTCCATGCAACAGTTTCCTTTCAAAAGACCTACTAAAACGGCTAAAATTTTCCAAAGGTTGATCAACAGAGGTAGTACAATCTTAAGCCCAATCTGCAGAGTCGCTTAAGCCACAGAATAAAAGGATTATCTGCCAACCAGATTGTCTCAGACTGTCAAAAGGAAAATGTCCTACCCTAGCTCAATATAGTAGTAATAATAAAAGTATAAGCTTGAGGGCATCGCCCATAGATTCTGAAGTCGTCACATTTTTTTTCAAGAAATTGTACTTTCTAAATACGCACAATCTCCCGGAGCACAAATCATCGAGGAGCTCAATGAATCTTCCGCGGAGTAATGGCCAATTTATTTTGTAAAGGTTCCCCTGACTGTAAACTCCTTTGAGCTATATTTGCGGCTCATGAGGTAGGATTCAAAAGCATTTATAGTAGAACTTCTTCCGGTGCATTTTTGGGACATACAAAATCGGAAAAGCGTATATCCATGCATATCACGACATGCAATTTGTGCGGTGTCTGTAATTGTACATATACTATGCACGCAATTCATTAACAAGTCTTCAGATTTAAATGCAGCTACCTCAAAACCTCTCAGGGTTCTATGCAGCTCATGAACAAAAACGACAAACGTTTCACCTAAAATAATGACAACTGGGCAGATGAGAAATAATGTTGGGCCTGTTTAAAGCGTTTTTTACGCAATAACTTTTAAGCGGATTTATTATTTTTTTAAACTATCTTAGCTATTTTGCAATAAATAGCTGAGCTATTTCGCAATACATAGCTCTATATTTGATTACGGAACACGAATGTATACGGATACAAGATCAAGCTCTTTTGTGGCGTGGATTTTCTTACAAGAATAGACTTGATTTCCTTGTTTTCCAGACAGGCCAGCGGTTCCAGGAAAGTTTGTTGCACCCCTGTATCCAAATTATCTTTAATCTCTGCCATCTGAGCGTAGCCTTCAGCCAGATTCCTTAAAGTGGTCGCTGCAAAAGACCAGAATTCCTTTTTAATTACCATGCCAGGTCTAATGCAATTTGTATTGTAACTTACCAAGATTTCCTGGATGGGGCTCCAATTCCTTGGAATACAATTCGAGCACATCAGCAAACTCCTGTTCTGTTTGCTGATATTTTCCAGACTTGGTTTGCTTGCCTTGAACTTTGCTCGTCAGAGTTTTAACCGTTGCACTTGCTCGCATTGCTAAAAAGGTCTTCGTTTTTCATTAGCCTTGATTTGACATAGTTCGAATTCAAATACCAGGCAGTATACAGTATAATCAGATATTTTTTGAAAAGAATAGAGAACGCAAATATAAAAATAAGTTTAAAATAAATTCAGACCTATTCGAACCTTTTTCCTCCATAAGTGATCTGAAAAATTATGTTTTGAAGAATGACATGATGTTAAGAAAAAAGTCATTTAGAAGGTGGTTTCGCCCAGTCAATTGTCCTAAAAATTAAGTTAAAACCACCTCCATAATTCCGGCTTACAAGCACTAAAAACAGTTTCCGCTCTATTTACATTGCCTTTCTTTATTTATATCAATCTTAGCATACAAATAGTATAAATTAATATTACACCCAAATCACTTGTTCTCGAAAGTGAAGATTGTTTAAAACACTATTTACTTGGATTGGGTTGAATCATCTCTATTGTTTTCCCCTGAACATCGTGTATGAATCCAGCAAGAGCTTGAGTGAGCTTAAATGCAAAAGTTTTTAAATTCCAATTCATAAATACCAACTCAAGAGGTAACGGCAAATTATACCTTTTCATTATCGTTGAACTCCTCTTCGTGTTTTGTGCCTTCCACATTCCATATTTTTTCACTCATGTACTAAACCAGAAACACACAGCATGTACACCAAGTCAAAGTTAATATTTCCGAAAATATTTATTAAAGGCAAACCTGGTTGACTTTGTTGTATTGCTTCGCAAGGCCCATCAAAGACATATTGAGTCCTTCAAATCACGAAACTTCTCCAAAATTACATAAATATAAATATCATTATCTGAAAACAGTTAATGAAAAGGCAGGGTAAAGTATCATGCCAACAGAAACACAGAGTCGAAGCTGAACTTCGCATTACTTGCGATACAACGCAATCTCAGCATGACAGCTAGTGAATAGAAAATGGGATGGAAATAACTTATTCGAAAAACGAAATCATAAATTTCAAGCCGAAACTAAGCTGACATTACGTTAGTAGACGCTTATTGAGTCGAAAACAAAAAAAATACATATCAAAAAAACTTCTTGTTGAAAACAATTTTGAGCAATTAAATTTAACAACTTTGAACCTCAACAGAAAAATGAATTCAACTTAATTTTAAAGTCTTCAATTTCAAAAAAGTAGTCTACGCCGAAACCATTCAGGTCGAAGAAAAAAGTGGTTTAAATGGGCCCTTCCGTCATGCGACGGTACGTGCACAGGTTGAATAGGGCCGTACCAACACTTTATGAGTAAATCAAGTCGATTTTAATGCATCCAGAGAATTAAAATCTACCCTCCTCGATCATAGCACAGATAAAATTGTCTATATTGGATGTATTTTTAAGATTTTTTCAGCCCTAAGGCAGAGATTGCACTCCTCAGAAGTGCAAAATTTATTTGTGTTTTTATAAAATTTATTGTGTCCGAGTATGATTCGTTCCGTTTTTGTGACATTCGACCAGAATGGACAAAATGCCATCTCTGCAGTTTAAGAATTTTTAGCAGCGGACCTTCCGAGTTACTGATTTTGAAGGATTAACGACGTTATTCGGATGATTAGTAGAACGGTGAAGGTCAAGATATTCTGGTATTTTGAAGTTTTAAATTTTCGAAGTGATGACGTAACATTTCTGAGAAACATCAGAAACGGCCATTTTGAAGGAAGAGCTAAAAAGAAAGAGAACAACATTAGTTGCAATTGCGAGAAGAACGGAAATAGTGATAAAGAAACGACAACGAATCACGGAGTTAACAGAGAACGTTCCGAGTTGCAACTATAGTGTCGCTACAATTGTTGCAAGGCCGTTGCGAATAACGGTGAAGGGTGGAAGACGGCCTTCCGGGTTACGGAGAAATCAAGTTTAACGTGCTTGATTCAGTGGATTCAAGAATCCGGAAGGGTTTCGGCACTGAAACTTTTATCATTTCATATAAACTTTTAGCTTCCTGTCATGTCCTGAATTGAATTTAATTAACAACTGGATTCATTTTGATAAGGATGAGAAGCTAGGAGTTGGGGGAAAGGGTTGATCCATCTTCGATGGAGATGATGATTTTTATCTACTGAACAAAAACAATAATAATTCAATAAATAGTAATAGCCCTGTTTTTAGGAGTGACCTCGTGGTCTGGGGATACTGAGACCCAGCCATTAGCTCACTATTTCTGCATGTAATTAAGTTAATTTGAGTGTTTTGACCGAAGCCGAAAGCAGTAACGTTTTTTGTCGACCCGATGTTAGAAAAGACCACCGAAAGTACTGGCTTGGTAGAGACGGTGAAAAGCATGCAAGGCTCTGTTTAGACGTTAGCCAGTCGTCTTAGAACTTAGTTTTGTTCTCCGTCGATATGTATCTTTCGGGCGAATTTTACATAGATGTTTTTATGGCGCTCCTGGGTGTTATTCTTTTTTAACATCATGATCGGCAGAACCGTTAACGAGCACTCCGCGCCGAGCGGATGCTCACATTAACGCCCTTAATAGGCCTAAACCGCTGGGGCGGAAGGGTAGTTCAGAACGCGGAAGCCTTCCGGATTGCCGTGAATAGTTTCTTAACCTAGTTAAGACCGAAAATTCACGAATCAGGAAGGGTGGGGGGATCGGCCATTCCCTCGTTCCCTGAGAGGTTTGTGACCAAAAACACTTAAAGATATATATAAAACCAAACAAAAAGCAGTATAGTACCCAAGGAAAACAAAAAAAAATAAAAAATAACCGAAAAAACCAAAAACAGTAAAAAAAAAAAAGTAAAAAAAAATCAGTAGAAATCATCCCCCCAGACAAGATGTGATCCGACCCTCCCGTTTGTTGTTAATAGATATATTGTTATTACAGGCATTTATATCAGTCAGGATCGTTACGATCAGTTTTTAGCCCGTTTGTGAGGCTTGTACTGTAGGGTTATTTGAGCATTTAAGCACGTTAATGATAAATTGCGCTCAATCCGGAAGGGTCAGCTGATTTGCGCTCAATTCGGAAGGGTCTTGGGAGAAGACTGATCCGGCAAGCAGTACAAGGAGCAACAAGAAGGGGCTCATCGACAACAACAATCGACTGTTGGGTATCGTTAACAAGTTTTGTATCCCTTTTGGTAAAAAAAAATAAGATAGTAATCTGTGGGGGGCTCGACAGTGCTGCACTGTAGTGACCCTTCACCGAAATGCGAATATCCGAGTTACGCACCTTAATTCGGATATTAAACAAACCCGGAGGGGTATAGTATTACTAATATTATTACTAATATAGCCTATGTTAATACTCTTATACCGTTTTTCAGTGAAAAACACAGAAAGCAGACCGGTTTTTAGGGTCAAAATAGCGATATTTTGATCCCCCCACAAGTCGCGATTTTTGAGATATCGGTATTTTTTGAAACGGAAAAAATCGCTAAATTAGTGTGTTACATCGTAACTGCACTACTACAATAGATAGAACCGGTTAAGTTTAGTTCGGAAGTGGTTGGAACTATTTTGGAACAAAAAACCAAATTTTCGTGATTTTTGAGAAAACGAAACACTATAAATTCAGAAAATTTTTTAAAATTTTTGAGTTAGAACAGTAAAAATAGTTGTTCGGACAACGTCCACTAGTGAATCTACGAGTTTTAAAACCCGTTTTAGAAAGCCTTCCGGGTTGCAGAGAAATCGAACTTAACGTGTTTGATTTGGTGGATTCATCAATCCGGAGGGGTGCAGGTAGCATAGTTTTTCGCAAATTTTTTCAACTAAAGCGTTTTATATCGGGTCTTTTGCTTTGAAATAGAAAAGTATAGGCCTTCTGAGCTCGGATCAATAATTTTTAGGTCGAAAGGACCAGATTTGCGGAAAAAGTTAGGCGGAACCTATAAGAGAGAAATTTCTTGACTTTAGAAAAAAAGACGTTTTGGTTAATAACTTTGGAACTACTAGGCATATCGAGTTGATCTTGGTACAAATAGATCAGAAGTTAGCGAAATTAGATCATAAATAGATCAGAGCTTACTGATAGGGACAAAAGTTTTTCGGAAAAGTAAGCGTGAAAATTTTTTGGGATTGTTTTTAGCAAATTCACCAATTTAGGAAGGTAGACCCTTCACGTTTTGTAAATTTCTTTTAGAAAAGCCCTTATACCCCTACCAAAAGGTAATAGCGGTTGAATAAAGTAACTTTAGGCTGTTCTAGACGAAAAGGGAAGGCTAAAGGCACAGCAAAACCTTAATCGAGCCGAAGTTGGGCGAGCGATAAGAACCTTCACCGTTAGCGTGAATTGTCGAATAAGAGGCTTAACTTCAATCCGGAAGGGTCTAGGAAAGCACTACTTACCCTTCCTAGTTAATCAACAAAGCAAAATAGCATCGGAAAACGTATCCGGAGGGGTATAGGTTGAAAGAAGGAGACCTCCGAAAGGCTACTTCTAAAAAAGGAGGGCTCCCAATCCGGAGGGGTCAAAATTTTTTTACAAAACCGGAGGGGTCCGAATCCGGAGGGGTCCTATAGTTGCTAAATCGGAGGGGTCCGAATCCGGAGGGGTCTTATATCAACTAACTCAGAGGGGTCCCAATCCGGAGGGGTCTAGATTTTGTTAGTCCGGAAGGGTCCTATTTGTGCCAATCCGGAGGGGTATTATTTTATTAAAGGACCTAGGTAGACGGAAGAAAGACTAAAGTGAGAGGTATTAGGATATTAACAGACAGGCTAGGAATCAGTGACTGCACTGGTAACTTGCCTTTCAATAAAAACCAGACCAAAACAAAACAGGTCCGAACTTCGTCTAAACAAAAAAAGAGCGTAATTCATTGGTGTGGATTGTAACATAATACGTTTTTGTGAAAAGTGACTGCCCTGAGGATTTTAGTAGGTCTAGCTCGGGCAGTCCGAAGGCAGATAGGTAAAACAGTACTCGGTGGGTGCAATAGACGCCCACTTGAGCAAATTACTGCCTTCAAAGTTTTGTCTGTTTGGTGCAGCACCGAGGAGGGAAAGCTTTTTCTTTAAAAGACGAGTTCGACTATTGCACTGCGAACGACTAAAAGTACATTACACATACGTTTTTTTTTTCATAGAGGCATTCATATTCTGTCATTATTTATATATATAATTTTTGTTCTTGATTTTAAATCTACATAAACTGTGCTTGATTGGGTAGTGAGTACACTATCTTTTAAATTGACTGATAACATCATATTGTGCTAGTTTTCAAATCTTACGACCGATAATCAGTTAGTGTGAATGAATTTTATACAAACTGTACTCTGATAACAAACAAGGATTCGTGGTCACTATTTTATAGAATCTTGTGAAATTTATTGTGTTGTGTCATTTTTATTGGTAATAAAACTATAAGGTCACCAGCAAACAAATTAAGTGTATAGGCATTAAGAAGTGACAAATAGAGAATGAGTCTAGACAAGTCAAGGATACCGAAACGAGGTAATAGCTCTAGGAAATTCATACCTGAAAAGCAAAGAAAAACGATGACCGATCCTTTTGTGGATTGGATCAAACGAGCCCGGACCGACAAAGTGGAGACGGTTTCAGGCAAAATGGTTGAAACAAGGAGTCAGAAGACCTCAGAAGAGCGAAAAGAACTGTTAGAAGTGGAGGTCCATACGGACCATGCCATGAACGACAACGAGGAAGTACATGGACTGGAAGGGAGAGGCAGAAGGCTGGCGAGTGAATCTACTCCGGTAGAACAAGGTCATGATTTTGCCACTTCCACGGGACATTGGATCGAGAGGAGATGTCGGAACTGTCCGACATCTCAACTGAAATAGCGGCAACTAGAAGATCTCCAACAGACAACACTATGATGGCA